AATTTTTTAAGGCACAGTTGATAAAGGCGTTGGTTAGATCCAGTGACCGGACCCAAAGAGTGTGAGTTCAATACCCGGTTAAGGCAGCGGAGAACTTGGAGAGGGGAATTAACAGTATAACTGATAACTGACATCTATTAAACATGGCACGTGGAACTAGAACAGTCTACCCCAATGATCGAAATAAATGGTTCAGTTCGACATTCCAACCACCTGAAGTAGGCCGGAGCAGGCAACAGCCGAAACGTTGTAATAAATATGGCGACAAAGATGAGGACAATCCGAATAATGTAAATAATGAATGCTCACCGTGTTTGTGAAACCCCCACCCCCAAAACTCAATTCCATCAGTTTAACCCGAGCCCTGAGCAAGCTGAAGACATCGACGATTCACAACCAAGCACTAGCGACTAATAAAATCTTTTGTATTCATGTGTATTTTGTTGTTTTGCACCTAAAATGCATTCTTTTTTTGACACATGCATTTTAGTTTTGTGTATTTCTAGCAAATATTAAACCAAGTGTATTGTAGTATGCAGTGTTTGACTTAAACCTGACAAACGTAAGAATACTAAACAAAACAATGTATAACGAGATTAGACAAATTGTATCAAACTTAAAGATAACGTAAATACAAAGAAAAAAAAATACAATAATGCCTAAAGGAAGATAAAAAGATTGCAAAATTAATTACAGACCGACTTACGACTAGATCGATTTAAGACCTGTCGTTCGTAAACAATCGTTGTCATAAGTCGACGACGAACCAATCCTAAAATAATAGGAACCAATTGTAAAAGTCGAAACCAATCCTAAAATCTTAAAAATAGTGACCAATCGTAAAACAGTTCAAGTTTAGTCGTCTTTATACTTGACTTCATAGTTGTAGAATTAGATTCCTACAATTTTTTTTTAAATCTCAAATTTTGTGCAAGTTAAACACATAGAGGCTTCCAATCAAGTATAACAACAACTGATGCATTCTGATTGATTGAAAAATATTAATTAGGTGTCGTCAACTACGTCCGAAGGTACCGACTCAAATTTTGATCTCTAGTTGACGCCACAAAATGTAAACATGTTCACGATCCCCACCCCCCACGTGACCAAGAGAACTAATAAAAACGAAACTTCAACGCGACTTGGTCAGAGGGCACTTAAAATATTGAACTCATTCACTTAACCTCATTGGAAATCAACACAGCAAAATTAACCTAAATCCAGCTTGCGAAAGAACGCTCATTCCAACAAAATATTCTATTCCACAACAAGCATCTCTGGTAAAAGAGCGACAACTCTGTAAAAATCAGTGAGTCAAGAACAATACTTTTTTTTTCTATTCAATGCAAAAAAAATAACTGTTTAATTTTCCTATAACAACAAATATACTTAACTACACTTTCTCATTTTCGTACAATAAGTTCAGCAACTTAAATTCTTTCAGTATCACACACCAAAGAACTCTAAAGTGTTTTAATAACTTAAGCACAATATATTATGTATTTGTTGTGTTTATAAAAAAATATTTATTGTTGAACAATTTCTTCTACTTGATTATTTCTCTTCTTGTTGTCTTTGTTACATTAGATATAATAAAAATAGTAGAGGGTCAGTTTTATTTGTATTTATAACCAATACAGATTGGCTAACCGACTATATAGTTAAACATTCATCATGCTTACATAGGTATTTAATGTCAAATATTGGTCGTCTGTTTCCTGGAAGTTATCCTTTTTTGGTGTTGCTTTACTCATTTGCATATTATGCATTCGGCGTATCCTAAGCTACATTGACAGTATAATCCAGTTTTCGAGTGTTGATTTTTCCGAAAACTGACTATTTTTGCTTTTCAGACATAGTTGTAAATTTCTGCAATTTTAAGACATTTATTTGGCGTAAAGGCGAGTGTTTTACGATGTTTGCGAAACCCCAGTAAAGAATTGCAGAAAAATGCAATGGATTTTAGTGACATTACTAAAAATCGAAATTCTGTGGTAACACCGGCTCACAAAATATTTGACTCATTTTATGCCTTTTGTTAGCTCCATATTGGAATTTCCATATTCATATATATTAACCAATCAGCGATGTTATTTGTTAAAGTGCAAAGAGCTTTGAAATTCCGGACGACTGTGTTTTTCGTCTGCTATGAAATTTTGTAGGATCCCTTTAGAGAATGATCAACAATATTTCTCTTCCTTAAATTGGACATTTAAAAATTGGGAAAATATTTATTAACCAATAAACTCATTAGTTTCATAAAATCTAATTTGTGTTTTTTTCTAGAGCCAATGTTTCTGTTATAAAAGTGATTATATTTGTTCGCTGAATTAGTTTTTCAATTAACCTTTTAGGGTCGATCGTTCGTTGCTGTACAAACTAAAATTCTCAAATCTAAACTAATTACTTTTTCGCATATTTATTCGAGTATCCTATATTACAAAAAGGCTTAGCTATTTTGACACTAAAAAACATACGAATTGAGTTATTTGTCAAAACAGATTTTTAACAGTATTATCCATAACGCAATTTCGCCTGCCGTCTTGGCTACCTCCTATCAGCTGCCGACTGTTATAAAATTACACGCATATATAAAACAATGTAAAACGTGACACACACATTCTCATATGTAGACGCATTGTGTTTTTTATACTAACACAATTTATTTGATTGTATTGTAATGACGACAACAAAAATATTTTGTGTTAAGTTGTTTCGCAAAGAATCTTTGTATTTCATTTCTTTCAATTTGAAAAAAATTAATACTTAATAATAAGAAATGATTTAAATTTGTGGAGCCGTGTTGAAGATTGTTTATTTCTTCATTTTATACACGCATGTTCCTCTACACGTTTATTACGCATATCATTCTTTGTGAAAAAGATTACTATATTTTCTTATGACACATTGACTCCTATATAATGGCCACACTGTGCCAAACAGACGCTTAAGTATGTTCTAAATGTAAATTATTCCATATTCGAAGTCCCAGTTGCCAAGTTTTCCAAAAGAACGTTAATGGGCGACCCAGAACACTAAGTAAAGTAATTATAATTCAATATTATTTCCGTTATCAACGTACTTTCGTCGATTGTGTAAGAGTGACGTGTGTACTTTGCTTCGTATCTTGCATGATCAATCATACAACGTTGTAGTTTGGAAATACATGCTTTCTTTAAGGATATTGGTTAGAAATTTTTGCTTTTTTGCGGGTATTCAATTTCAAAAATACTTTTGTATATTTAGCCATTATAACACGTAGAATACGTACCATCCTGCGTGGATGATTCCAGACTCAAGTATAAACCCTACCTGTGTTTACATATCAACTCACGTATAAAAACAACCAATTTTTACCCATAGACTCAAGTATAAAACCAACCAATATTTATCTATTGACTGAAGTATAAACATACTCATAACTAATGTTTACTTATAGATTTAACTATCAGGTCATCCCATAAGTTCTGTCCGAATTTTGAATAAAGAAAACAAGTGACCAAATGTTACATTTAATTACAGATTCAATCAACAATGTATTTTCCCTGATTATCTATGACTTCCTTCCATCTATTAACAAGCTTACTAATTCCATTACTGTAAAATTCTTTTGGCTTTGATTCGAAGAACTCACAAATGTCAATTTTAACCTCTTCCTGTGTTACAAAAGCTGTTTCTTCCAAATGATTCTGTAAGCTACGAAACAAATGGTAGTCTGAAGGAGCAAGATCGGGAGAATAAGGTGGATGAGGAATTTTCTCCCAACCAAGTTCTTCGATCTTTTGTGACGTGATTCTTGCTGTGTGGAGTCGCGCATTGTTCTGATAAAACAACACCTCTTTACGATTCACTAGAGCAGGTCTTTTTTTCCTCAAAGCTTGGTTCAAACGCTCTAATTGCTGACAGTATATTTGAGCATTAATTCTTGCATTAGGTGGTAAGAATTCAAAGTGGATTATTCCTTGGCGATCCCACCAGGTTGAAAGCAGAACCTTTTGCCCATGAAGTTCCCTTCTCGGCTGTGGCTGGGGTCCTTCTCCTTTACCAAGCCTACGACGCTTAACATTTCTATAAAAGATCCATTTTTTGTTGCCAGTCACAAGTCTATCCAAAAAAGGTGAAACAAGTTGGAGAGAATGGAGAGAAGAGCAGATGTCAACTCGGGATTTGAGGTTGTTTTCAGACAAATCATGAGGCACCCATTTTCCAAGTTTAGGAACTTTTCTAAGTTGTTGAAAATGACGATGAACAGTTGTATAGTTTGAACTGAGAACCACTGCCAATTCCTCAACTGATAAAGCAGGATTTTCTTCAAGGGCTGCTTCAAGAAGCTTTTCATCAAACTCAACTGGACGTCCAGTTCGATCTTCATCTTCAAGGATGAAATCTCCATCTCTGAATTTTTCAAACCATCTTCTGCAAGTTCTTTCATTCACACATTCCTCTCCATAAACTGAATGAATGTTTCTAGCCGCTTCGGCTGCTGAGTTTCTTTTCTTGAACTCATAAAGCATTATGTGCCTCAAATGATTCTTGGGTACTTCCATGTTAGCAGGGTTTTAATCAAACAAAATTTAATTTTATTGTTACTTGAGATAAAATTTGATCAGTTTAAATGCATCTAAACATAAAAATAATGTTCAGCTCCATTACATATTATAAAATACTCTTTAAATTTCGTTCATTTTAACAAAAAGTTAAAATTCGGACAGAACTTATGGGATGACCTGATATAAATCAGACCAATGTTTACTTATAGACTCAAATATAAACCCGGCCAATGTTTACTTATAGAATCAAGCATAAATCCCTCCAGCATTTCTCGATACATCCAATGAATATTTATCAAAATCAAATATAATAAAAGATTTCGACATTAAATATTCCAACAATTATTGATATGTTATAAAGTCCATCATCCATGAAGCTAAACCCTTACCTTTGCACTTTTGCACCCGAAGAATGCCGAAAAGACCGATTAGTGAAATCTTGAATTACAGATCTTGGAGTCTGGGATGAATTGCGATTGGAATAACCAGAAAAATATACTTGGTAAACATGCGTGCTATGGTAATGCGAAAAACGATATCTATCTATCTATCTATCTATCTATCTATCTGTTTCTTCATATTGTTATCTATCTATTTCAGTCAGTTCATATATCTATTTATCTATATCAGTCTGTTCATCTATCTATTTCAGTCTCTGTATCTATCTATCTATCTATCTATCTATCTATGTTACTCTGTTCATATATCTATCTATTCATCTATCTATCTGCATATTTTTCTCTCAGTGTCTATATTCATGTTTCTCAACAGAATGCCTGCCTATGTATGTATGTAACTATCTAAGTCTGTTCATATCTATCTATCTATCTATCTATCTATCTATCTATCTATCTATCTATCTATCTCAGTTCATTTATATTTATCTATTGTGACATGACCCTCTTTATTTATATTAAAAGTAATTAAATTGAATTAAATCAATCATTTATTTGAGGTATTGATATTAAATATAAATCCCCACCATAAAATTTAATAATTTATCTTTCCTTCTTTCTTTCTGTTGCTTCAAAACAGGTGATTGCAGAATTAGGTCACAAACAAACGGCCTTGACAACTTTTGAATTGGTTCATTGTTTCGATTTAATTTCATACGTAGTATTCAACAGTTCGATTTAATTTCATACGTAGTATTCAAAGTTAGGTGCAACCCTACACTAACTTGTTAGAAGAATCGTAGCCGTTACACAGAGAAGACGTGCAAAAAATGTTGAATTCTTTCTCCACTGGCTCTCACGTAAAACTGTCTTCCGATCTCCCAGAGAAGGAAAGTAAGAATCTTCCAAGGTCATCAGGAACTTAAAAGACAACATGGACTGTATACTCCATGAATGAAAAACTAAGCGCTTTAAGGACGATAATCAAACAAATAAAAAATAATCGAACAAAATATTTCTTAATATAAAGGGAAACTACTCATCCAAGACAAAACAACATTTGTCTACCTTGAACTATTTAGAAAAAGAAAAGAAACAGAAATAATGATAAAAAATCGTCGATAAGATTATTCGACAGATAAGTAAAGCATTGAACATTTCTCTTATGACAATTTTTATATTTTCTTTCCTTTCTCCTTTCATTTGTTTAGCGTTTCCTTCTTCGTTGTATCTTTATAATATTAAAATAATTATAACATTATATCTCGTGTTTTTTTTTTCTGTAGGTCATCTGGAGTAGAAAATCTCCATTTTTTTTCCTTTTAAGAGAACTGCGTTCGCAGCCATATCTATGAATTTTGTCGAGAGATAAAATTCGTATCTATCTATCTATCTATCTATCTATCTATCTATCTATCTATCTATCTCAGTTTAGTCATATCTATCTATCTATCTATCTATCTATCTATCTATCTATCTATCGAAATATATCATAAGGTTTTTTCATCTGCAAGTTGTGTTCAAACTAACGTATTTATCTAATCTCGCTCTGGTATCTGCTCTTATGATTGGCTCCTGATTTTACGTTAGGTTTATTTCTCAATAATAAAAGCATCGATGGAATCATAAATCATTTGTAATAAAATCAGCCATTCTCTTATGGAATCCTCCATACTTGCCTGTCATCCCCCTACGGGAAGATGCACTCTTCCCCAAATTAACCTTTAACCAATCATCACTTCACTTTTCCAAACTCAACTTCCCATTGGTTAAAAGGACACAAAAATGTAGGAAGTTAAGAAATTCTTTTTCCCGCGTCGCTGTTTGGAGCCTATTTGAAAACCCAAAAATCTATAAAAAAAAGAATCGCTCGACTTAATTCAAGTCAGTCAGACACTGTGTTTCGAGAGATGCCAGCAGACTCTACGCGTGCCAAACACACTGACTCAATAACACTACCAGCCTCTCATCAACTCAACGCACCTCGCACTACTATTGCCGCGTGACGAAACTTAACTTACAATTTACTAAAAAAGTAACATTATCACTACAAAATAGTAATTGTATATTTAATCAACGTTAGCATATCAGTCAAAGGCACACAACTCTTCATAACTTGAATCAACACTTACAATTGTCACACACATACACACTATTATCTGAACTCACACAATTGATAATTTACCTTGCAGAAATCAAACTGTTTTAATTTCACAAACAAACTTAAACCATCAACATTTATTCACCAAATCTCTGCATGGACAGTCTTGGCTATCTTATCTCACTTGCCACGTTTAACAAGCAACCTACCATCACTTTGTGTATGTCAAATATATATATAAATTCACGTTATTGTTGAAATCTATAACTACGTTGTTTTTCCTTGATTTCTTCAAATTGAATTGTCTTCAGATGTACGTTTAATTTATTTGTTGTGGATAAATGCATAATGTACACGCACATTTTAGGCCTTCACACAATCTCACCTTCTGACACATCTTACTTAGCATAAATTCTGTAACACTCTCTTTTGCAATTTTCCAAGCCAGCAACAGAATTTCTGTTGTACGTTGCTTAAATATGTTACCCAAGGTATAAATTTATCTTCGAACGATAGAAACTAAATAAAGACATCGGATATAAAAAAAAATCTCCTAACCAATATTTTTTAAAAATACCCAGAAAAGAAATTCTTTAGAAACAATAAGATATCAGGGTCTTGTGAAAAAGTAAAAAATGACCGAGTTAAGAGATGAAAGTGTCAAAAATTGAAACAAAATCTAGTAAAAATAATTCTTACTTGATTAACTCCCGATTTAGAAAAAGTACTTCATGCTTATATAAGAGGAAACGTACGATATCCTCTAAACTGGTCGTTTGAGATAAATTTGCCAATACCCGAAATAGAAAATTTGAAAGATTTATGTGTCATATTGGACATAAATAAATGGAATTGTTCGTTTATATAAATAAGCAGAGTTGAGGAGAGTTAGCATTAAGTCAATTGCTAAGTGTACTTTCGCGTAGTAAACCTTCTGTTTCATTACTTACCTACGAATTTGCCTTATTTATTTCCCTCTGTTATCTTGAAAACACAAGATATAATACATAGATAGATAGATAGATAGATAGAAAAGAATAGACTATAATAGTGTCATATAGACCATAAATAAATGGAATTGTCCGTTTATAAAATTAAGCAAAGTTGAAGAGAGTTAGCTTAAGGTCATTTGCTAAGTGTACCTTTGTGTAATAAATCTTCTATTTCCTTACTTACCTACGAGTTTGTCTTTCTTATTTATTTCTCTCTGTTATCTCTTAATCACGTGATACAAGAGTATTATAATTATTTGCTTGTATTATGTATTTTTTTTTGTTTAACTTACACGAATGTATCAGTTCCAAATTTTTCCGCGGATTAAACATTCTGCTTTATTAATAGAAAATAACGCCTCAAATTGAGTGAACATAGGAAGTGACAGAAGAGTTTTATTTAACACATCATTACAGAACCATCCAGTAGTCACGAGAGCCAAACTTGTTAGAAGCAATGGGATGTCTCATTCCATCCGCAAACAAAGACTTAACCTCTTTAAGGATATGTTTACAATTGTTACGATAGCAGACACAGAGTGGCTTCTGTTGTAATCGGAACTATGACACTGGAATACCCGGAAGAAGTGATTCTTGTGGGCTATAGCGGCAGAACAGGCCGGTGTGAAACAAGTAGAAGATTGCGGTTTCATTTAGTATTTCCGAGAAGGAACAAATGCACCGACGTCGGCGTGAGGAAAAACATGGAATAAAAAAAAACATAACAGGATATTGAGTTGAGACGTTATTCCTTTTTACGTAATTCTATGTTGGCAATAAATTTGCAAACGTGTTTTGTTTTGTGTGTGTTAAATTGTGATATATGACACAATACAGAAACATTTTTAGTATTTGTCATATAGGGCATAAATGAATGGAATCGTCCGTTTATGTAAATAAGCTGAGTTGAGGAGAGTTAGCATTAAGTCAATTGCTAAGTGTACCTTCGTGTAGTAAACCTTCTGTTTCATTACTTAACTATGAGTTTGTCTTTCTTATTTATTTCACTCTTTTATCTCGAAAACACGAGATATAACAGATAGATAGATAGATAGATAGATAGATAAGAACAGACTATAATAGTGTCATATAGGGAATAAATGAATGGAATTGTCCGTTTATATAAATAAGCAGAGTTGAGGAGAGTTAGCATTAAGTCAATTGCTAAGTGTAAATTCGTGTAATAAGCCTTCTATTTCATTACTTACTTACGAGATTGTCTTCCTTATTTATTTCCCTCTGTTATCTTGAAAACACAAGATAGATAGATAGATAGATAGACAATGAGAGGGAGAGAGAGATGGTGAGCAGAATTAGAGAAAAAGATGAGTAAAGATAGATAGAGAGATAGATAGTGAGAGAGAGAATGGGGTGCAGAATTAGAGAGAATGAGGTGTACAGATAGATAGATAGATATATATGAACAGCCTATAATAATTGTCCGTTTATATAAATAAGCGGGGTTAAGCAGAGTTGAGCAGAGTTATCATTAGGTCTTAGCCGCGCGCGGGTTGCGACCCATCCCAGATTTCTTCTGGAGGGATTGGCAGAGGAGGAGATGAAGGTCGGGATAGATGCTGCAGATATTGTATCTGTTCCATGTTGAAGGCATTCTCTCCTCTTTTGCTCTCCCCACCACCATTGCGTAATATCTGTTACGTAGCGGTGGTATGACCGGCTATGACTAGCTTAGACAAGCTATAACCAGCTTAGACCAGCGGCCCGAGTGGAGAACACTTGTGCTCCCACGTTAAAAACCAACCTTGTGTCACAACCTGACACAGTGGTAAATCTCAGGTCTTAGCCGCGCGCTAAACACTTAGTGCTTGTCGACCTATCTATCTTCGGACAGAGAGGAACCCAGGCGAGGTTATGCCGAAGGGCAGAGTCCCGTCTGGGGAAGTAGACAAAGCCGACCCCATTTATACTGGATCTACGGGAATCATTTGACAGAACATTACGTGCTCGTAACGCCCTACGTTAAAAAGAAAAAAAAAACGCCCTTGTGCCACATCCCGCCTTGTGGGGAGGACATGGATAAATACCAGGTCTTAGTACTTGTCGACCTCTCTGCCTCCGGTCAGAGTGTAACCTAGACGAGATTATTCCGGAGGGCAGAGTCTCGTCTCGGGAGGTAGACAAACCCGACCCCGTTATTACGGGGTCTTTCGGGGAATTTTAGCCCAGGTCTACAGGCTCGGAAAATCCCACGTTTAAACATCCTTATGCCATATCCCGCCTTGTTGGGAGGACTTGGATAAATACTAGGTCTTAGCCGCGCGCTAAGCACTAGTCGGTTTTTCTGCCTTCGGGCAAAGAGGAAGCCAGACGAGGCTATGCCGAAGGGCAGAGTCCCGTCTGGTGAGGTCTGGGGAGGTAGACAAACCCGACTCCGTTTATACAGGGTCTACGGGGAATTTTTACTCGAGCCTACTGGCTCAGAATCGCCCTACGTAAAAAAAAAAAAACCCGGCTTTGTGCCTTTATGGGGCGCACGGGTAAAACCGAGTTAGCATTAGATCAATTGCTAGGTGTACCTTTGTGTAGTAAATTTCTATTTCATTACTTACCTTCCTTCCTTATTTATTTCTCTCTGGTGTCGCTGATGACACTTGAATTTGAAAATAGATCGCCAGTAAGCAAACAAAGGCGATTCCATTATTGAATTAAGTAGATCGCATGACCATAGAGGAAGCGCATATATGAGAATTAGCATGGCGTCTAAATGATCCCTATTTCTAGTCTATCCTCTATTACTATACGGATCACCATTTCTAGTCTATCTATTATATTCTTTCTATTACTATACGGATCGTGATTCTATTTTCTATACTGATCACTATTCAGGGGTTACTTTTTGAGCTAGTATTATCGAGCAAGTACTATTAGTGCGAGTGTTATTCGAAGGCGTCTGACACCAGTTTGTTCAACAGCGTTATTATAGTTGTATCTGTGATTACAAAGTCTCTACTACAACGAGAATTACAAAAGTGACAACGAGTATTTACGAAAGTGACAACGAGTTTTCGCTGACATTACAAAAGTGGCAACGAGTGTTCGTTGACATCACAAAATTTGTTATCTGTTACAAGTTACAACATTTTTTTCTATGCTTTCTTTTTTATTTAGCATCTTTTTTTTATTTGCATGTATTCCCAAGAACAATGATAATGGTGTCAACTCTGTTATTTCCACTCAAAAGATTATTAAAACTAATTGAACATTTTACTATAGTTGTATTATAGAACCTTCCTACAATAAACTCGGCCTTGTGTCACATCCGACCGGATTACTTCGGAAGTATGCTGGTCAAACTCGCTGCCTCCGGACAGAGAAGATCCCCAGACGAGGCTATGTTGAAGGGCAAAGTCTCGTCTCAGGATTATTATTGGAAGGCGTCTGACACTAGTATTGTTCAATCGCGATCACAAAGTCTCTACTACAACGAACATTTACGAAAGTGACAGCGAGGTTTCGTTGATATCACAAAATAATATAAGATAGATATTTAGATTGAGCAAATAGTATTAGCCTCCTAATATATATATATATATATATATATATATATATATACCTCCTAATATATATATATATATATATATATATATATATATAATAATATATATATATATATATATATATATATATATATATATATATACTGCCTTCTAGTGTATATATATATATATATATATATATATATATATATATATACACGTGCAAAGTGCAAATACCTTATGAAAGGGCTATGAACCCACCTCTTCTCCATCCAGTTATGCATTAATTAGTAAGACTTGTATCAGGAAATTCTTAAAACCTAAAAATATTTTAGGCTTTAAATAACCTGTAGAAGGTTGATAAATCGTAAAGAACAAGTCAATCATTCAATCAATCTTTGAGAGAGAGAGAGAGAGAGAGAGAGAGAGAGAGCATAAGAAATAAATGACCTAGATACAACTAGGCGTCCTAAGAAACGAGACGAGGCCATGTCGAAGGGCAGAGTCTCATCTTGGGATTATTATTCGAAGGCGTCTGACACTAGTATTGTTCAATGGCGTTACTATAGATGTATCTGCGATTACAAAGTCTCTACTACAACGAGCATTACTAAAGTGACAACGAGGATTCGTTGACATCACAAAATAATATAAGATAGATATTTAGAGTGCGCTAATAGTATTAGCGTCCTTATATATATATATATATATATATATATATATATATGTATACTACCTCCTTATATATATATATATATATATATATATATATATATATATATATATTAATATATATACTGACTTTATTTATATATATATATATATATATATACTAGAAGGCAGTATATATATATATATATATAGGCTATATATATATATATATATATATATATATATATATATATATATATACTAGAAGGCAGTATATATATATATATATATATATGCTAGAAGGCATATATATATCTATCTACTAGAAGGTAGTATATATATTTATATATATACTGCTTTATATATATATATATATATATATATATATATATATATATATATATATATATATATATATATATATGTGTGTGTGTGTGTGTAAAAAGAGTAAATAATACTCGTCAGTGTCGGAGAAAGGCATCAGACGCCACCTCAGAGAGTAGGACGTAGATAAATCAAAAGTATATGTAAAACCCCAACTTCAACTTAACTCTCCTCTGGGATTGCTCGTCTGACGTAATGTATTGCCAACAAAAAAAACAAAAAAACAAAAAAACAAAAAAAACTCGACGGTTAAGAATTTGCTGTGACATTTTATTTATTTACCGAGTAAGCTATTTTTGAAAATGATGGTTCTCTGCTCTAACACCGGTTCTCATACAATCACCGAAGTTAAGCAATGTCGCGCCTGATCAGTACCTAGGTGGGTGACCGCTTGAGAATACCTGGTACTGTAAACTTGGATGGCGGGTGGTGTAATGGATAATGGTTCGAAATTGTTAATCGGAGAGCTGAGTTCCAATTCCAATTGGGTTTGTTATATTCACTTACGCGCAAATAGACTTGGGAAAGGCATGAACCCATCTCTTCTCCACCCACCTTTAATTAAAAGGCGTCTTGTCTAAAGTGTTATTTTGCTGATTTTCTATATATGATAGATTCTCTTGTCATCTCCCGGCTTACGGCCATTTCACGTTGAAACACCAATTCCCACGCGATCACTGATGTTAAGCAATGTTGAGTCTTGTCAGTATATAGATGGGTGACTGCTTGGGAATACTAGGTGCTGTAAAGTTGGATGTGCAGGTGGTGTAAAGGATAAAACTTCAGATTTGGAAATCGAAAAGTCGAGTTTCAATTCCAGTCGGTTTCATTCGATTCACTTATAAGCAAATGGCCTTGGGAAAAGCATGAATCCTCCTAATCTTTAATCCTGGATATGGATTAAAAAAAAATGGCTGGTATTTAGTTAAGTTTTTTTGATTGATTGATTTGTTTGTTTTTTTTACAGTTTATAAAACGTTCTCAGATTATTTAAAGCTAGAATATATTTTTAGAGCCTATTTACATACACACACACGCACACACATATATAAATATAAATATAAAAGTGTACATTGAAGTCAACACTCAGAGGCGACAGGCTGTTTCATGCCAGACGCAATCTTCAGACCTGACGATTGCGCCTAGCATGAAACAGCCTGTCATCTGGAGTGTTGACTTCAATGTACACTTTTATATTTATATTTACATACGCTCTACCTCTGATATTGACCACTTTATCTCATAAATATAGCACACCTTAAAACTATATTTCTTCCTATATATATATATATATATATATATGTGTGTGTGTGTGTGTGTGTGTGTGGGACTCGCCAGTCGTATGAGGGTCAAGCAACTTAGTTCCTAGGAACCGACAGCCAGACACCTTCACATAGGATTTGATTATAGTGGTGAAGGCTTTGTGTAGAACCAATCACACTTGTTGAAGGACCGAATATAGAGACCTCGTGTAATACGTGCCACAAGGTCCCCAAACGACACTGGGCAGATTTGTCTTTCTATAGACCAGTTGCCATTCAAGGCTATAGAACCCAGTCTATCCTGCTATTTACCCATATCTAGGGGGAGAAGAAGAGGATTCATATTTTCCCAAGGGTATTAGCACGTAAGTGAATATAATGGATTCAACAGGAATTCGAACTGGCCCTCCGATTCCGGAGCTGCCATCCATTACTCCACTGTGCTCCTAATATATATATATATATATATATATATATATATATATATATATATATATATATATATATATATATATATATATATATATATATATATATATATATATATATATATATATATATATATATATATATATATATATATATATGAACTCTCTTTCCACCCAGTTATGCATTAATTAGTAAGACTTGTATCAGAAAATGTTCATTATCTTAAAAAATTCTTAAAATCTAAAAATATTTTAGGCTTTAAATAACCTGCAGAAGGTTGATAAACCGTAAAGAACAAGTCAATCAATCAACCAATCTTTGAAAGAGAGAGAGAGAGAGAGAGAGAGAGAGAGAGAGAGAGAGAGAGAGAGAGAGAGAAAAGAAAAGGCGAATAAGAAAGAAATGACTTAGTTACAATTGGGCGTGAAACAAATGAAGTAATGGTTTGAAAATTGTTACAATTTTTGGATTATTTATATGTTAATTCCAATTTGAAAACAATAAATTTTTTGAATCTCTTTTCGTACGCTATTTATTTCGAAGTTTTCCATTTAATTCTATTCAGTTTCAGTCAATTTCCCATTGTCATAATGTAGCTTCCCGCTGCCTTTTCTAGAAATACTTTCATGGAAATTGTTCAGATGAATTTTCTTCTATGATAACTAGACTTCATGAATTTAAATGCTGTACTAAATTGCTGGCAAGGTTTCATCATTTTACAGTTGAAACTTCTAGAAAGAATTCAAAACAAAAGAAAACCTGCCAGGAGAAGAGGTTGTCGTGATAGATTTCTGGGACGCTTAAGGCTTTTTGCTTGTTGACTTTTTAGAAGGGACAAAGGTGAAAGTGCTTTTAGAAAATTACTTAACAATTTACCAAAAAAGCATCGTGGAAAACTTTATTAGAGAATCGTTTTCACAATGACAATCTTATTCCTCTCATCCAAGATGAACATTTACCTTACACTCCTGATATATATATATATATATATATATTAAGAAATGGACAAGGTCCGACAATTTATTTATTAAAGACATTTTTATGTTTATATATATATTAGGAGGCACGGTGGAGTAATGGATAGCGGCTTGGATTGAGGAATCGCAGAGCCGAGTTCGAATTTCAGTCGAATCCATTACATTCACTTACGTGCTTGGGAAAGGTATGAATCCTCTTCATCTCCCTCCAGCTATGGGTAAAATAGCAGGACAGACTGGGTTTTATAGCCTTGGATGGCAACTGGTCTAGGAGAAGGACAACTCTGAATTCAAAACCCAGGGTCACAAACTCACATCAATCCAACTAAATATATATATATATTCTGTTTATATGTTATTTTTATAGATATAATTTAAGTAAATGGTCTGTTTTAATACTGTTTAATTAAAACCATATATTTAGGCATGTCTGATTAAATAAATTAAATAAATTACAAACATTATGTCTGCTTATTTTTAGAATAATCCGTTCATATTCACGGATATTTTTTCGTGTGTCACAATCAAATGATGCAAGAAATGCACTGTAACAGTGAGAATAACTTTTATTTCGCAAGTACTTTCTATCTCTTTCTGAGATCATCATCAAGGGCGCAACTAATTAAGCAACAAACTATGTGTAGCTCTCCATTACTGAATATTTTTCTTTTTGCTTTTAAATGCTATGGCTGACAGTTATGCTTTAGTGTTCATTAGAACGTGAAAAATTATCCATTATGGAATGTTTTCTTTTATGTTGGAATGTCATGGTCAAGCACACATTGAAGCATGAGGCATTTTAGAACATTATTATAGTATTCGTGGCTGATTCTCTTCAGTGTCGGCTTATATATATATATATATATATATATATATATATATATATATATATATAATGGCTGGCCTCTCGTATCCGAGGATTAGTTTCTGGGAGAGAGCGCATTATCTATCGGAATCAACAATCTGAACAAGGCTAGCACACTCAAATCCTCGGTCACGATGACTTGTGACTTCGTGCTAGCAAAGAGTTCCGTCTGCCCAATTTCACTCACAACGCTTGGGTCAACCCATGGTATGGTTTTTAGCCACTGTCCAAAGGTGCCACTCGCTGGGAATCGCCTCCATCAAGAAGTTACTTTCTGATAAATTGACCATGGTGAGGTTCGAACCTGGGGCTCATAGTCAGAAAGCGAACGTTCTAACTATTCGGCCTCACATACACACGTATACACGTACACACGTAAATACACAGATCTACGCATATATGCACTCGTACATGCATATATGCACATACGCGCATATACATACACATACGTATATATGCACTTACGCACATATACATACACACATACGTATACACATACACACATTCATATAGACACACACGTATTCACATACAAACACACATATACGCCCATATGCGCACGTAGATGGATATATACACATACACACATGTACATCCACATACGTATAGACATACACACATTCATATACATACACACGTATACACATACACACATACATACACACATATTGGAACGTACATAATATATACAGATACGCACATATACATGCACACATAATTATACACATACACACATTCATATATATATACACACGTATATACATACAGACGTACATAAACTCATATACGCACATATGTTCACGTACATGCATACATACACATACGCACATATACATACATACGTATACACATACAACAATTCATATACATACACACGTATACACATACATACACATTTATACACACATATACGCACATATGCGCACGTACATACATACGCACATATACATACCCACATACGTATAAACCTACACACATTCATATACATACACACGTATCCGCATACACACATATGCGTATATATGCACACGTACATACATATACAGTAGGGGCCATAATATAAGGAACGGAAACAACAAAGACATAAATATGTGTAGTACTTAAAAACTAATGCATGATTAGCAATGAAATTTTTACCGAATAAAGATTAGGGTGTAATGCATAAATATTATACAAAGTTACAAAAATTTACATAATAGTTTTTTTTTTAAATAAAGATTAAATGGAACAAAGGAAATAAGCTACTGGACAAAAGTTAAGGAACGATGTTAATAATTTGCATAAACTTTTAATTTACATTGTTAAAAAACTCGATGGAGCTTTATTTATCATTAGGACTTTATTTTTAAGCAATATGGCAAATTCTACACGCAAAACGCTCTCTTTTGAAGAAAAAAAATTATCGCTAACCATCAAGAAAAAAAGTCAATTTCAGAAATTTCTGATATTGTTCATAGGTCTAAAAGTGTCATTCATCGTGTAATTAGCAGGTATAAAACCGATAAAACGTTAGATGCAAAACCCAAAACCGGCAGACCTCTAAAAACATCGCAAAGAGAAGATTGAACAATTGTTAGAATATCTAGAAAAAATCGTTTTGAAACTGCTACATCAATTGCCCGTAAATTTAATGAAGAGACAGATAATAAGATCTCAAGGAAAACGGTTGCTCGCAGGTTAAAAATGCGGGATTGCATGCCCGTATTCCAGCTTCGAAGCCACTCATTTCAAAGCGAAACCAAAGGGCACGCCTGGAGTATACGAGAGAACATGTTGTTTGGACTGACACACAATGGGATACAGTTTTTTTTAGTGACGAGTCCAAGTTTACTATATTTGGTTCTGAGGGCAAAACTTACATACGCCGTAGAACAGGTGAAAGACTGTCTTATCAATGTGCCAAGAAAACCGTTAAGTTTGGTGGCGACAGTGTGATGGTGTGGGGAATGATTTCATCTGCAGGAGTTGGCCTATCATCCGCGTACATGGCAATATCAATGCTGAGATTTACAAAAGCTTCTTCAGCAGCATGTGGTACCAAGATTATACCATAATCTTTATGAATCTCCTATTTTCATGCAGGACAATGCAACTTGCCACAAGTCTCAGACGGTTATGGCTTTATTTGAAGAAGAAGGAATCGCCCTAATGAAGTGGCCAGCCCAGAGCTCCGACCTGAATCCAATAGAAAATGTTTGGAAGATAGTTGGAGAAAGGACTCAGAAAAGAAACCCGAAAAAACAGGATCACCTATGGGAGTTATTGAAAGACGAATGGGAGGGAATTACTGCTGATTTTTGCAAGAAATTAATTAGATCATGTGGTCGACGATGCAGAGATGTCATTGAAAATAAGGGGATGTTTACCAAATATTAAATTTTGTTGATATTTTGTTCACAATCAAGTATTAACAAGACCGTTCCTTAACTTTGGTCAAGTAGCTTATTTCCTTTGTTCCATTTAATCTTTATTAAAAAAAAAAAACTATTATGTAAATTTTTGTAACTTTGTATAATATTTATGCATTACACCCTAATCTTTATTCGGTAAAAATTTCATTGCTAATCATGCATTACTTTTTAAGTAATACACATATTTATGTCTTTGTTGTTTCCGTTCCTTATATTATGGCCGCTACTGTATATACATACGCACATATACATGCACACATATGTATACATATACACACGTTCATACACATATGCATACATACATAGAAAGAGAGAGAGAGAGTGAGAGAAAGAGAGAGTGAGAGAGAGAGAGAGAGAAGGAGAGAGAACACATAAATAACTGATAATCATGTCAACACCCAAACGATGTAAGATAGATATCGATAAAGAGAGATCGATAGAAAGGAAGACTGATAGATCAATTAGGTAAATTCAAAGACTTGTCCTCCATTGCACTGAATAACAGATCGATGGACAGGAAATTCTGTGAAATGTTTGGTTCTCGCCAGAGCTTGAGGCATTATGAATTGAGTTGCTTCGATTAATAAGATCTTGATTTGAAACGTGTATCCTTTACGTTTAGGGATTTCGATAAATGCTGAGCATTATAACGAGATAGAGATGTGCGGGTGGTGTAATAGACAACGACTCAGAAGGAGAAATCAGAGATACGTGTTCGAATTCCAGCTTTGAGTTCGTTCCATTCACTTACGCTCAAATAGCCTCGGGAAAAGTATAAACTCACCTCATCTTTCTCCCCATATATAGGTTAAATAGCAGAGTTCTTAAGCCGTGGTTGGCAATTATTAAGGTCTTTTTTGTATTGATTTGATATAGGTTTGATATATTTTTTAAGAAAGCAACATAATATTTAATAATAATATATTATATGTTCTTTTATATCAGTGTTGCATTTGTCTCCATAATAACTTCTATCTGAGTTTTGTCTAGCAAAGAAATCGATCAAGTTATCGTTCGATCTATATCAGTTTGGTATCACTGTTCATACCACGTTATTTAAATTTTACTTATAATTACTGAAGTAATAAACCTTATTAAGTTTATTTAAAGTTAGAATATATTTTTTTACGTTGTAAGAATTTATTTGAGATAATTATTTTTAATAATACGTTCTAATAATTAACCCCTTAGCTGGGGGAGAATAGATGAATTAATATCTTTCCCAAGTGTATTTGCACGTAGATGAATATAATGAACCCGACTGGAATTGGAACTCGACAAATCCAAGCCACACATCCAAGCTTACAGCATCTGATATTCCCGAGCAGTCACCCTTTTAGGTAACGGGCAGGTTCGACGTAGCTTAACTTCGGTGATCGTATGAGAACCGATGTTTCGACGTGATATGACCGTGAGCCCGTAATTATTTATGGTGAAGGCCAACTTTCTTTTTATGTGCCGTGTCCTTTCAAGACGTAGGCGATCATGGCTCTCCACTTCCTCCTCCTATCCCTTGTGGCTCTCAATAGGTTTCGACCTTCTGCCATCTCCCCCAAACCACGTTCTGTCATCCACTTGCTCAAGCCTGCCAAGTATGTCATGCGTTTATTTCTCTTGTCTCTCTTTCCTTCTATTTGACCTGTGAGTATCAGATTCTCCAGGCCCTCCTTTCTCATTACGTGTCCCAGAAACTTCCGGTACCTTTTCCTGATGTTAAGTATAAGACTCCTCCTTGTTTGCATCCTCTCCAAGACCTCATTGTTGCTCACAGGCTCGGTCCATGATATCCTCAGCATCCTTCTGTAGAACCATACCTCAGTTGCTTCGAGTCTCTTCTCCATCTTTGAGGAGACTTCCCAGTATTCCCTGCTGTAAAGGAGGGCAAGTGTCACGTACAACTCAATACTCTTTTCTTTCTTACCAAAGAAATCCTCCTGTCTTGCAATACTCTGCCCAGCTTTTGGAATGCGTCTTTGGCCATCCCAATACGTCTACGGATCTCAGTGTCGCACTTGCCATCCTTTGTCAAAACGCTTCCCAGATATTTAAACTTCCGCGCCAGCTTGATCTTAGTGTCCCCGGGCCGCCCATCGCATTTCGGACTCATCCTTTTACTGATGACCATGCATTCTGTCTTCTTGTAGTTTATGCTTCGTCCTTTCTTCTCGCTTTCCTTCGCTATCATCTGTAGGGGGGTTTGTAATTTCTTTTCCGTGTCTGCTATCACTGAATTTAAAATTCTAAGTTTCCCTAACGCTGCCATATAGATAGCTTAAGCAATATCTTTATTCGGTTTCGACAACTCATTGAACAAATGTTGGGCCTAGGATCCATGTAATGGATGCATATAATGAATTATGCAAAGTCCCAAATCTCTGGTTCAGGGCCCTCCCATTCTTGTTGGAGGAACCACTACCTGATTGACAATGTCGTCATTGGTTTCGCCGTACTAATCACACTTGGGCAATTGCAGGTTGGTGAGGCTATTTAACCCATAGTTGGAGGATTAAATTCTAGACCAAAGGCTATAGAACCCAGTCAGTCTTACTATTTAACCTATAGTGGGGGAGATAAGAGATAGATTTCTGTCCATCCCCAGGGTACTTGCACGTAAGTGAATATAACGAATTCGATTAGAAATCGAACTCGGCTCCCCGATTCTTCAATCCGAGCCGCTATTACTCGAGTAATTATAAGAAGAAAAAGGTATAGAACATGATATGAACAGTGATACCAAACTGAGATAGATCGAACGATAAGTTGATCGATTTCTTTGATAGACAAAACTCAGAAGTTATTATGGAGACAAATGCAACACTGATTAAAAAAAAAACAACAACAAAAAAAGAACAATGTTTTAATGCATTGCGGGATTCTTTTAATATTATGTTGCTTTCTTTAAAAATTCAAAACGAATAGCTTTGATCTTTCGATTCTGTACAAAGTTTCAATCGTCTGTTCTTTTATTCCTATATTCCTTTATATCTTCCATTTTGTTATTCTTCTGTTCTTTTATTCCTATATTCCTTTATATCTTCCATTTTGTTATTTTTCTGTTCTTTTATTTTTCCCTTCCTTTAATCCGTCATTCTTTTATTCCTTTTTTCATTTGCATCAAAGCAACCAGCGACTCGATGTTAACCTTCGTCATAAGATGCGAATAATTTCAGTTCGACATTTGAGATTTAAATAAAGCTGTTTTTGCCGGGTTGAAAAAGAATAAAGACTGCGGATCTTGTCCTTTTCATAACTATCAATTCTTAAAACAAACAATGTCTTTGGAAAATGGAATCATATGTCAAGAAAGAGCACCAGTCATTCGTGAATAAGAGGATTTTTCAAAAGATCTTTTCTTACTTGGGTTTTTTTTTCACTCCAATGATTTTCTCTTTCTTTTTATTTTTTGGCTTTCTATAATTCTTTATTTATTCATTCATTTATACTTCCTTTCTTTCTTTCAATCATTTTTTATTCACTTTCCTTCCCCCCCCCCTTTTTTTTTGCTATATTCACCGTCTGTTCTTCATATACTTCTTCAGACTTTAAATATATTAATATTGTTTTCGTTCACTTTTTATTCTTTAAATATATTTTTATTTTTTTAAAATTTCGTTCCTCTCTCTCATTTACTTTTAAAATTCTTTCTTTCTTTTAGCCATTCATTCATTTATACTTTTGTTTGTTTGTTTGTTTGTTTGTTTGTTTGTTTCTTTCTTTCTTTCTTTCTTTCAGCCATTAATTCTTTCATTCATTCATTTATTTTTTCTTTCTTTCTTGCTTTTTTCTTTCCTTCTTTCTTTCTTGTCATTAAAATTTTTATAATTTTCTCTCCTCTCTCAATTTTGAATTTGCATTTACGCGCGACACACCTTCTTGTAAACCTTTTACTTATATTTTCTTTAATAACCTTTCGAAATTACTTCCTACCTGTCTCGTTGCTTCTCTTCTCTGTCTGCTTTGCAGATATCGACATATCCCTTCGGAATCTATCTACCGAGTTTTAATCTTCGTCTATTCCTCATAAGAACGCCACAATCTCAACTAATACTGCGGATTTTGCATAAATGGTGTGAAGGCTTCCCTCAGAGTTGTGTTCAACCGTGCGTTAGCTACCACCATGAACTACAGCAGACGATGTCCTATATGAAAAAAGTTCAAGATGGCGGATTGCTTGTCGAGTAAGTCTTGGATCCCTTCTTCTATTCTTTACTTCTTTCCTCTCGTTATTGTCAATTCTCCCAACTAGGAATTTTCTGCTAGCGTTCTCTTCGTCTCGCTAATGCTATGACCCGGAAAGAAAGACGATATAGAAATGTAAAGAAAATTGTTCGCTTAATTCAATCAAACAGCTCACTAATAATTTAGTATGAATGATACATGCATATGAACATATGAAACATATCTTTATAGATCAATAAAGGAACTTTCCATTGATTTAAATTATCTTGAAGAATTAGAATTTTATCATATATATACGTACACACACACACACACATACATATATGTATATATATATATGTTCGTTCCTTTTTTTTATATATATATATATATATATATATATATATATATATATATATATATATATGTGTGTGTGTGTGTACATTGTTATGACTATATTCTTTAGCAGATATACGTAGTTGAGTAAACGTTTTGCTTTAAAAGATCAATAAAGGAACTTACCATTGATTTAAATTATCTTCTTCAAGAATTAGAATTTTATCATATACATACATACATACACACATACACACACGCATATATATATGTATATATATAAATGTTCGTACATTTTATAATATATATATATATATATGTGTGTGTGTGTGTGTGGTGTGTACATTGTTATGGCTATATTCGTTAGATCTAGCAGATATACGTATTTGAGTAAAAGTTTTTGCTTTTTAAACAGTATATTGTCGTCTAAAAACATGTGTTTTCTAGGTTTTCAAGGAAATGTACTCTTCGCCCGCACTTTCTATTATTAAAGATAATCGAAAAATCCAGAGCGACAGACGAAAATTATAGTGTTTAAAAACAGAGACGTCGATTGAAACATGAGATCCATTAAATATAACGTATATAGCAATGAGATATAATGTCGTACTATGGATAAAAATTCATGAATTCCTTCTATCTATCTATCTATCTATCTATCTATCTATCTCTATCTATCTATCTATCTATCTATCTATCCAGGTAAGATGAGAAACAATAGAATACAATTCAAACATTCTTAATATTTAATTTAAAAGAGGGCTCAATACAAAGTAGAGCAATATTCTTTATTTCAGGATATTACATAAAACACATGTCAAAATCGCTACACAATTGCAGTCATGTTTCGATGCGTTTCAACGCATCTTATCAGGTCTAATGAGATGCGTTGATACACATCAAAACGACTGCAGTTGTGTAGCGATTTTGACATGTTTTTGATGTAATATCCTGAAATAAAGATATATATATATATATATATATATATATATATATATATATATATATATATATATATATGTAAATGTAGTTTTATGGTATGCTATATTTATTCGTTAAAGTTCTCAGTATCAGGGATAGACCATATGTAAATATAAAATTGGATACTGAAGTCATCATCTAGCGGCAACAGTCTGTTTCATGCTTATACACAATCGTCAGGCCATATGCGTTGTGTTTTTGCGCGACTATTTATATGTACAGGTCAGTGATGCATTGTGGGTAGTCTACTGTATTGCTTTAACGGTTGTTTTGGTGGGTGTTAACGGTTATATTTCGAATTATTCTAGGGGCTATTGGGCGGAAATAATTATGGATCCAAATGCAGGTTTTTGGTTATTTATAGTGTTGTGTGTAGGAAAAACATACATAAACACTTCCCACTTTTATGTATTTTCCACAAGATATTCAACAAAAACACAGTAAAAATCAGCTGCAGTTGCACCGAGAACACGACACAAGTAATTAAAAAGCATAACAAGAAAGCAACCAACAAACCTCCTGCGCAAATGAAACACACGTGTAACTGCAGAACAAACAACGAATGTCCCTTAAACAGCAAGTTCTTGCAGAAGAATGTAATATACCAAGTCACTGTAAAATCAGAAAACAACGAAGAAAAATGTAATTGAAGGAGACTGGAAACAAAGAAACTACGCACACACAAAAAAAATCCTTTACAAATAGTAAAATATACGAACAGCACAAGGCTTTCTAAATATATCTGGGAGGTTAAAAAAAATCACAGCTATAACATTATTGAGGAGAAAGTAGCTATCATTACCTTCCCAGACCAACACAAATTACTAAATAAGCGATCAGAAGTCATCTCAAAATGCAGACACAAAAACAATTTTTTTAAATCGAAAACTAAAAACGAACAAGAATAAACAAAAATAAATAAATAAAAAATAAAATAAACAAAAAATAAGTAAAATAAATTCATCCAAAACAATAAATAAGTAAATAAATTATATAAATAAGAAACAAATT